GCCTCAGCTAGCCAAGCCTGCCCCTCCCAGCCCTGCTCAGACTCACCACTGCCTCCACCTCAAAATCAGGTCCTGGCTCTCCTCTGTGGGGGCATCTTTTGCCCAAGGCCTTGAAAGGGCAATGTCTTGCAGCCCTTGAGCCTTAGTCCCTTGGAAGTTGAGACAGGACTGAGAAAGCAAAAAGCTTGCTGCCAAGTGTGGGTTTCTGGCACCCCCTGCTGGTGCCTCTTAACATGGCTTCCACGCAAGGCCCGGCAGCCTTCTGCCTGGCCTACTGCTGTGGCTCCCCAGCTGCGTGTTGATCTTGAGAAGAGATAGGTGCCCTGGGGACTGTTCCTTGGCAGGAGCATCTGCTTGGAGCTTCTGACCCAGTTCCCTCCTCCCTACACTGGATTCTAGGGACACCTTTTGGACAGTAACTACAAGATGAAAGAAGATGAGGAAGACAGGATCTATGTTGAGCTCTAGGCCCCTCCCAAGGGAGCGCCAAGGGCCAGTGGGATGAAGGAACAAAAGGAACATCATGTGTCCTTGTGTTTCTGCAGAGCCCGAAGCTTCTGTGGGCCTCATTGTGTAATCACTCCCTAGAGAGGCCACCCAGGATGGCCAGGGGAGTACCCTCTGTGACCGACCCCAAACCAGCCAGCTCCATATCCAAGGGTTTGCCTGGAGAAGCCTGAACACACAGAGCCTTCTCCAGCCAGAGAGCCAACTTAGCTCCCCTGCGGTCTCTGTGGTGACCCCATTTCTCCTCCATGTCACTGCATTGACCTGCACCCCAGGATCCCATTCAGATTCAGCGGCGTGCTGGTCTCGTCCAGTGCTATTCGCCTCCCCTTCATCGGACTCCACATGGCCACGTGGCACTTTCCCTTCATGCTCCTTTGCATGGCATGCGTCCTCACAATGTGGTCGGCTACATAGCATGATTTTTTTGTGCTGCTGCTTCTACCCTGTCCTGTCTGGCCCTGCACTGGGCCCATGCACAGTAGATTCCAGGCGAAGACTGGCCAGTGAGCACTGCAGGGAGCAGCCCTCCCACCCTGTGACCTCTCTCAGCTGGTCCTGAGGGTCTGGTAACCCCGGAGGGATGAGGGGAGAAGCAGACATCCAGGTGGCTGTGCTGTGGTATCCTGGGCTGCAGGTACTCCGGTTCCTGCCCCCCCCAAACTGATCCCCCTCAGTATCCCTATATACCACGCCCCTGCCCATCTGCATACCGTGCTTGCTCTTTCTGTGGGGCATTCATCTTCCTTCTGCTCAAATCTCTGAGCCAGGCCACAGTGGTGCTGAAGGAAGGACCAGGAACCCTCTATGGCTTTGGCCAAGCCAGTGAACCTGTTCGAACTCAGTTTCTCCAACTGTAAAATGAAACCAGTCATCTTGCTCTGCTGTTCCTATGGGACCTTTCACCACATACCCTTCCTCTAAGCCTCACTGCACTCACCTGTATTTTGGTGTTCATTAAACATGGTCTTATTATGTGAATTTCAGGGTTTCGAGTTTGGTCTCTTCAATCAGAGGGTCCTCCCAGGGGTTCCCCACCCCTGCGTGCCAGATAGGTCACCAAATGGGGTCCAGCAGGCTGCATCTCACAATGCTTTATCACTGGAATGTCGAAGTCTTTTCAAAAACATAGCCATTCAGAAGCAGGTATATTTGAGCACTATTTGCATAGCTTCCTCTGCAAACTTAATGAACTGGGGAGTCTTTCTGGTAAGCCCAGGGAGGGCATTTGCTACTTTGTCATGATTTCTATATCATGAGATCTTTGTGCATGCAAAATAGTTTCTTTGAATTTTTCTTCCAAATATTTTGCTAAACTAAAAGGTGTTTCCAAGTAACACATAATTTATTTTGTTAATATTCTCTATTTCTTTTTTGTGAGAGTATATTTGAGCCAAACTGATGATATATGCCAGGGAACAAGATCTCAAATGCTCCCTCTATTATTTTTTCTTGATCACTTTTTATTAGCTTTTGATGTTAAAAATTAACCAAAGTTTTAGGGAATTGCATAATTATTTGCTTTTCTAGAAATGTTTAAAAGTTTATTTTAAAAACAAAAAATTCAATTTAAACCAGCTTATTCAGTGCTTTGTTTAAATGAACTGTATGCCTTTAGGGCTTCAGAAAATCCATTTTTCAAAAATAATTTTTAATGTAAGGTTAAGTCATTGTATTTATTTGATTTTTCAAAGTTTTAATTATTGAATTAAAATTAGCGTTTTAATTTTTCCTGTTTTTATAAGCTGCATGCTTAATTTTTTTTAGTTTTTCAGGGCAACTTGTTTTAGAAAATTTTAGATTTCAGAAGGTCTTCATATTTCTCCTATTCCTTTCCTGAAGTCATAAAGCCTTCATAGTCTCCTTATGTATTTTACATTTAATAGATTTAGTTTTTTATTTTGAAAGAATTTTAGATTTACAGAAGAGTTGCAAGGATGGTACAGAGCTCCTATATACTCTCCCCAACTTCTCTGAGTGTTAAATATTGCACATTTATCAAAGCAAATAAATTAACATCGATATAATGCTATTAACTTACACTACAGTCCTTTTTTTCCTCCCTGAGTTTTTCTACAGTCCTTTCTCTGTTCCAACAATAGATTTAATTTTATAGATGTTTACTTTCCCAAATTTTTATTAAATCCAGAATGTCATCAGATTCACAAGACTAACCTTGGTCAAAAAAAAAATTGCCACTGATTAGACAGTACAGAGACTCTCAAACATGCAACTCTTCTCATCCTACACCTAAATGTCTCATTTGCACAGAAAAGTTACCAAATGGAGCAGGGGTACTAAGCATACCCCATGGTGCTTCTCCAAGAAGCACCTGTTAGGCAGAAAAGCATGGAGATTTTTAAAGATGTGTTGCAAAAAAAAAAAAAAAATCTTTGTTATGTTAGTGTCAGATTGTACTCTAGTAGGTGCGGCATCATGATTTGTTGCTAAAGATGAAATGCCTTGCTCTCAGATGTGCTCATTTTACCCAAACATGTAGAATTTGTCAAAACTGTGCTTGAGAGTCAGGAAGCAGTGGACACACTGACCTGTGACATGACAGACACACCAACCAACAAAACCTCCCACTTAAGATTGCTGAGTCCACAGGTGTAGTATTACCTGGATGCTTGGTTAGTTTCACCAGTGAGAAACCATTTTATCAGTGAGATGCACCCTAGCCAGAGGGAGCATGCAGGTCTGATCTAGTCCAGTGAGGCCACTGATAACAGAGTGAAAGCTCATACAGTCCAAGCAGTTCTGGTCCTTGTTTTTCTCTTCGTGCAAGAAAGAGTAGCCGACCTCTGCTCTATTTCATACTAAAGGGTGTTGACTGGTAAAGGACACATTTTGTCAAAAGCTTACCAGCTAAAGATTGAAAAGAAGAGTTGTGTGAATAACTTTACCTTTCCATTCCAGTGTTGGATGGTTATTGGCTGAAAAATGGATAACCGGACTGACACTTTGGAGGATCTGAATGAATAATAAAAAATTATGAGGACCATGTAAAAAGTAACTAATGTGTGGTGAGTGAATGTGACTTTGCCGCAAAATCCAACTTTGGAAAAGTGAAAATAAGTGATTTAGTAATCTGTTTGGTCAGTGTTAATTAGAACTCTAAACAACATTAATGAGAAAAAAATGCAACATCACTGTGAAATATTTGATACAAAAATGTTTCAATGGGGTTGGGGAGTCCTGGGCACATCATCTGCAGGACTGAGAACATCTGTGGAGAAGGAAACACTGGACTTGAAGGAGCATTGCTCCCTTGAAGAATTTGAGAGACTGAATCTATGGAACAGTGAGAAAAGTTTCTCTCCATTAGAGATGTATGTGCTGCTCCATTTGCTGCCACAGCCAGTGTGAACCAAGTCCTTCCCTGATTTTGTTTTTGTCTCCTCTCATTCACAGCGCCTGTCATGCAGATGTGCTGCATAAATGAGAGGAATGAAGGGAGCGGCCATCAGGAATTGTCCAAATGTCTCAGTCAAGAATTGCTGGGGGGAAAAGAATGGCTTGTATCTCTGTCATGTGGAAAACCCAGTATCAAAAAGTCATGCTCATCGAAATGAGAATATTTTATCTGGAAGTTTCTAAGTCAATATTAATGTCTTTTCTAATTGGGTGGGCCTATATAATATAAAGGAAAACATAACACCTTTTTTCTCCACCTGTCTGGCTCCTCTGTGTCCTTCCCTCCCTGCAGCTGCCCTCTCCCGTGAAACTGCTGCTGCTTGCTCTCTGTTCCTCTTCCTGCTGTCCCGCTGCGTGGACTCATGCTCCTGCCCCTCTCTCTTCCTTCGGGGCTGCCTCGAAGTTGTGGGCTCCCTTCCCTGTCAGCACTCTTGCTGCCACCACCACCTCACATGGAACCCTTTTGGGGCCTGGGGCCTGGTAAATCGTGTCCCAACTGGCATCTCCATTTCTAGCCAGCCATGGAATGCTTTGTTTCATTGTCTTTTTTTAAGACTGAATTTAACCATTTCAAAGTGAACAATTCAGTGGCAATCTAGTACATCACAATGGTGTGTGACCACCTCTAGCTCCACAACATTGTCACGCCCCGTGAGGAAGCCCATTCCCATTAAGCACTTGCCCCCCACTCCTCCCTGTCTTAGGTTTTTAAAAAGGTAAAATGTGCACCTAGTAGAAAACCAATACATATGGGAATATCCACAGCAGTAAGTCTGTCCGGTTGGGTCCCCAGGGCCCTCCACCGTTAGTGTCCGCATGCACGTTCAGGTAGGGCACTCTTCCCCACCCTGCTTCCGGTCGCTTAACTGCCTCTCAAGGATCATCCACACCTGTTACCGTCTCATAAACAGCTGCCCAGTGTTCCTGATTGGAATGGTTTGTAATTTGAGTAGAAACTGAATCTGGTCTCCCCCTTGCTCAAAACCCTCTTCCTCTTTTAAGATCTTGTTCAGAGATCACTGCCCTGGAGGCAGTCCAAGCTGCCCCAGCCCCTCCCCCATTTGTATCACCTCTGCATCCAGTACCTTTCTGGTTTAGCATTGCAACATTATCCAGTCGCCCTGGCTGTGAGCTCCTGGAGGTTAGGGACTCCTCAATTTTGTATCCTCTGAGCCTAGCTTAGTGTCTGCACACTATATATGCTCATTGAATGTCAATGAGTAGCTTTTAGGTAGAAGGCAGGGCTTGGAGGTTGTAAACCCTACCAGGTGGAGATGACGTCATGCTGGCCTCTAGGGTGCCGATCCCAGACCAGATCAGGGCAGGTGGTGCCCCTTGCGGAACCCTTTCTCAGAACCTGCTGCCTGTGCCAGGCTTGGCACATTCTGTAAACCAGCAAGATTCTTTCTCCCTCGCTCCTGTGGTCCAGGGACAGTTACACACCGCCCCCTGGTGGTCAAGGCTGCCCCCCCCTCCCCCAGAACACCTGCCAGTGACGGTTGTAAGTGTGTCTGGTCCCGCTTGTACCATGCCATATTTACCTATGGGAGAAATAGAAGCAACTGATTGTCTTTTATATTTCAATAAAGCCAGAAAAAAAAACTCGTATCATTTTATAAGCCCTATTTTTTAAATTATACAAAAAATCACCTTCATTCATTCCCCTCCACTAGCACAACTACATTTTTGGTTCCATCTTCTAGCCTTGCCTGGGGCACATGTAGCCCTTTTCCAGCCAGGTTAAGAGAGCAGAGGGCCATGTCTCTGTGTTATGCCCTCTCTGGTGTGTCATCATGGCGACTTGGAAGAATGGGACTCTCTGCAGGGAGAGGGCACTCTGCCTGGGATGCTTGGTTGTCTGCAATTTCCCGATATTCTTGATAAAGCCATACTTCAGGCTGCTGACTCTTCTTCTTTGAAATGGCTTCCTTGGGTAAGTACATCTTTCTAATCATTTGAGACCATTTGGAGTTTTATCCTTGGTCTTTTTCTCCCTAGTTGTCCTCCTCCTTTCCCTTGGGTCCTGCGAAATGCCATCGGACTTCTCTCCGACACTGTCTTTTGTTGGGGACAATGGGCTCTTTTGTCCCCCATTAAAACCCTGAGAGGAGTCAAGACCCACATCTCTTTATTCCTCCTGTATTGGGGTCTGTAATGTGAGTTTCCCAAAGCCCCTCTTTTATTCCTGGAAATCCCCACCTGTGTAGTGACAGGCCAGGGACTCATGACACTGTGGTTTCAAGCCAAGGACTTAGCTGTGAGGGAGAAGGCAGAAGTGTGTGTCCCTTTCCACAACCACAGCCCATCCCACCCCAGGGTCCTGCTTGGTGCTGGGAGGCCTAGGAGAAGATGACGTGGGTCCCTCCTGGCCCACCACTGGTCACCGGATGCTCCCTAAGCCCTGGTGTAGAAGGCAGGTGCTGCAGTGAGCCACATGGACCAGGCCCAACCTGTGGAGCTAGAGTTTCAGTTCCACCACTTGCTAGTGGCCTGACCCTGGGCAAGGTGGTTAAACTTCCTAGGCCTGTTTCCTTTTTCACAAAATGGGTAACAATGATATCTTTCTCAAAGGGTCATTTTGAGGATTAGATAATACCTGAAAAATCCTCAGGACAGGACAGGCACACAATTGGTAATTAGTCAATGTTAGCTGTATACATCAGGTACCTTACCAGGGAGTCAGAGATACAGAAAAAGAGGCACAGGAACTCTCAGTGGGGAAGGTAGTGAGTGAAAAAAAAGTACTAATAGAGTACAAGGGATGAAGGAGGGGCCTGAGGAGGAAGAGAGGTCAGGGAGGCTTCCTGGGGGGAGGTGGTGTTCTAAAGACAGTAGTAGCATTCCCTAAGTAAGAAGAGTAGTTGGTGCAGAGCCACAGTTTCAAGGACACAGGAGAGGAGAGAGAGAACACGAGGGGAAGAGATGGGGAGGGGCTGAGAGGAGCCCACTGTCAGGAGCACGGTGAAAGATTCTAGGAGGGCAGCGATTGGTCAAATGTACCAGTTAGAAAGATTCCGTGGCTTTAAGGTGGAGAATGCGTTGGAGCAGGGAGTTAGACTGAGCTGGCCAACCACATAGAAACTGTGAAAAGACCCAGGCTGGAAATGAAGGCCCACCAAATGAAGGCAAGGGCAGGGGGTGGGGGAGGGGATATACAGAGCTGAGCATTGGGAAGCAGAGGAACCTCGCGTCTTGGTGAGTAATGAAGAGTGAGCAGTGGCGTGACTGCAAGGTTGCCTGGCGGTGTGAGCAGCTGGGTGCATGGTTGTGTCTGTTGCCCAAAATGGAAATAACCAAGTGGAAGTGGATGGCGATGGGGGTAGGGTGAACTCAGTTTGAGATATGCTGGTTTGAGGTGTTAGCAACCCCAATGGAGACCCCGTGTGATGTCTCATACTAGAACTTGGGCAGAAAAATGAGAGGATGGAGAGCGAAGCTGATCCACTCTTTGAGCCTGATGAGGGAACTGTCTACTGACTTCCCAGTTTCAGAATTTTAGCTAGAATGGGGTTATGTGCTCTTTGTCCAATGCTGTGCATCTAACTGCTGTGGACTGTCCTGCCCCTTCTTTCATTGTGGGGGGAAGCCCTGGGAACCACTGCAGGACTTGGGCCTGTCCTCGTTCCTCCTTGCGACTCCAGGAATAAAGGCATCAGGGCTGTGAGAGATAAGCTGGAAAGAGAGGAGAGGGTGTGGAGTGGCCAATGGGCTGCAGCAGCAGAGGCCCACTTAGCCTGACAATTGTCCTTTGGTTTAGAGAAATGGCAGTCACCAGTGACTTTGGCGGGGGCAAGAAGCTGGTGAGGGAGGGAGGGCAGGTGAGGTGGAAACGTGGAGTGAAAATTCCTCTTTCCAGAAGTCAGTCTAAGGCAAAGGAGAGGGTGGCAGAAGGAGGTGGGGAGGGTTCTAGCCATCTGGTGGTCTCTTTTGAAACACAACAGACCTGCTATGGACTATCCCTGTCCTGCTCCTCCTTTCCTTGTAGGGAGAAACCCTGGGAACCTGGGCCTATGCTTGTTCTTCCTTGTTCTGTGGGCTGCAAGTTCAGGGAGTGGCAGATTTGGCCTCACCAAAAAGAAGAGGGCAGAAGGGAGGTTCCTGTTGTAGAAGGTGGGGCTGAGAGTCCAATAGGACCCCACAGCCCACGTGGAGGTTGAGGAAAGCTGCCACCCAGGATGTTCAGAGAGAGAGTGCTTTAATGTTGGGACCAGGGCTTGGAGCTCAAGCGAGACCCTGGTCCCAACAGGAGGCAGTCACCCAAGACTCCTGCAAGGGAAGGGACAAAAGGGCACAGGGAACCAGAGCTGGTGAATATATAAGGCAGCCAGGTGGGGTGCCGGACCGTCACGTGGGATCATCAGGGGAGTGTCAGTCCCAGGCCAGGCTGCATGCTGTACTGGAAGCACTGGCTGCTGCTCCAGAAATAAAACCAGCCTCGCAGGAGTGGGCTTTTGCATGGGGACATGCAAGACATGGATCCCAGAATGTACAGAAATCCGGGGAAGTCTCCACAGGTGGCAACACCGACGGGCTTCAAACCAGTCATGCCTACATCTTGAGGGGCAGAGACACCTCTCTCCAACTTAAGTTTGGGTCTCTGATGCAAGGGGGGACAGATGGGGTGGAAGAGGGTTCCTTTCCCTAAGAAACCAAGAAAGAAGTCACCAATTTGCTGGGGCGACCGAGGGACACAGAAGAGCTGCAGGCAGAGGCCGGGACTTCACAGGTGGGCTGGGGGCTTTCCTGGGCACTGGATCAGAACGGCCGACGCTCAGAACTCTGGATTTTGGCTCCGTCTGCTCGGACAGATTGCTCCAGGAGGTCTGAGGATGTCTGGGGAAGACAGTCGTCCTGGGTCCTGGGAACAAGGCGGTGAGATCTCACAACCAGGTCCACGCCGCAAACGCAAAAAAGCAACCCACGAAACCAAATACCGGCTGGAGCCGCGCAACTGCAGAGGAGGCGGGGCCTTCACGTCCCGCCCCATATGCTAATGAGCGCGCCACCGCCCCGCCCCGGCCGGGGGACCGGACGGACTCAACGCCGCGGGGTCCAAGAGGCTGGCGGCGCTGGGGAGCGCACCCGCGGAGGCTGAGGTGGGGCGGAATGCCGGAGTCTGGTTGGAGGGGTGGTGGCCCAGTGCGGGGGCGGTTAGCAGCCGCTCAGGAGTCTTGTATCCGTAGCACCCCCCACCGATGCTAGTGGTACGGCCCATGAGGGGCGGGGCCAGGATCATGTGACGCGACACCATCCGCCATTTTGTTCTGCGGTGCTGGTATTTAGAGCGCAGCGGCTGACGGGCCGATCGCCTTCGCAGCCCTCTGACCACTAGCTTCGTGCTTGCCGCCTGCTGCTCGCCTGCTGCGCTCGGCCCGTCCTCGTCCCCGCCTCGGCCCGCTGAGCTCGCCCCCTCCCCACCGCAGACATGTCCGAGGCCAAGAGCGGCCCCGAGTACGCCTCCTTTTTTGCGGTCATGGGCGCCTCGGCCGCCATGGTCTTCAGCGGTGAGCGCCGCAGCAGGAGGGACCCGGGAGGCGGGGGGCACGCGGGGCTCGTGCCCGCAGCTCGCCGGGGTTCGGTGTGTGACGTCACTCTGATGTAATTCCGAGCTGTTGGGGGTCCCGGCTCTCACGTGACCGGGGCTGGGGTCCGGGCTTAGAGGGCTGCGGGGCCCGTTGGGTGTCGAGTGCAGAGCATGAGGACTGAGCCGGGGTGCCGGTTCCAGGGTTCTCCTGGGAGTCCTTGGCCGGCCGCCCTGCCCCCGGTCCCTGTTGGTGCGGGGGTGGGGCGG